GTACGAAGGCAGAGATCCCTGTCTGAGGAATCTTGCCTTTCATTGGCCCGGCTGGATAATCCTCTGTGTGTGGAAAAGTGGATGCATTGAGGAGCAAGTGTTCGAGAAAAAGTAAATTAAATCTTTTGGAAAACTGTGCAGGTGTGTGGGTGTACTTGTGTGACTGCTTTTCCCTTTGGGCTTTGTGCACGGCTTTTGGTTGTGCTTTTGATCCTGTTGATTGCACTTGTGAAAGGGAGGCACACGGTCCTGCTGAGCCCAAAGCCGGTTAGGGAATACCGAATGACTACATTTTTATTCTGGGTTTCCCTCTTGTTCCGTGCGCCCAAATGCTGCTGCAACCGCTGAAATAAATTGGCTATTCCTGTAGCCCCGGGCACAGCTGTGTTCAATGCGAAATACACACAGCGCCGATCACGAGGGAGACGAGGAGCAAATGAGAGAGAGAGAGATGGTTGGAGAAATGCAGACAGTCAGTGGTGACACAGTTCAACCCATAAGAAACAGCAGAGACAAAGAAGTCTGACAGCTTCATAACATAATATAATATTAATAGCATGTAGATTACAGGAAGGCTCATCCTCAGTGGTTAAGGTGCATGGAAAAGAGAGAGAGAGGTAAAAAGAGGTGATGAGGGAGGCTACTGTATGTTGGGGCTAAATCTTGAGGAAGGAACCTGTGCACTTCGAGGGCTCTTTAAATCCACTCACCGATTCAGAGTTCCCTCAATAATGGATGCATAAGCCGAGGTCCGGCTTTCTTGAAGTCTAAAGTCAACCTCAATGCACCTCAGTCCATAAAGTAAATTATGAACACTGCACAGATTATCACCAAAGCCGCTGTGTGGCAAAACAACTTTGAGCTGGACAAAAATATATAAAACATTAATTATGTTTATCTTCGTCAGATCCTTTCTCATTTAATGTATTCAATCTTCTCTCCGTAATATTCCCATACCAAACATACCAGCTGATGTCACCCTGCGCTGTGGCCAAGTGGAAGACAGGTGCCTGCTTCACAGCGCGACCCAAAAGAAAGTTGGCCGCCTGCCTGTTACCTCCTCTCCTCCTCCTTCTCCTCTCTGCCTCCGCTGCCAACAACCCTGGCACATCTGTGCTTGTCCGGCGTGCTTGGTGCCAAGTACCCTGGTGCCATTGTTCTCCCCTGAATGCACCCAATGCCCATGGGAAAGAAGTCTGAACACAGTGTGGCACAATTTACACGGCCTGTTAGATAATCTCAAGACATGAAAAGATTCTCTCAGCCTAGATTCAAGGAACTGCTTTTTGTTCAAGAACAAGAAAAACACCCAATGGAGACTTTTACAGCTTTAGTTTTCAGAATTAGACATTCACTGAGGAGAACACATCCCTGAAATTGAAAGAACAGCTTTATTGTTTATCAATATCATATTTCATAATATGCAAAACAGTACATTGCTTTTCGTTTTAAACCATTTAAAATAGTTCCTGAGCTTCTGTTTTTTGTACACAATCATCATGATCATAATTATTGTGTATGTGTTACTTTTATCCGTTTGTTCAACCCAAACACAAACAGACACACACAAAAGTACTCATTTAAATGCTTGTGCATAAACTGTGTATATTCATTCAATTGGAGACGATGATGTGGCCAATAGCTGATTTATCAGGACCATGCAGGCTGACAAATTATTCTAAATAGGAGAATCAGTCACTCTTGCTTTTGATCTTTGTACTGCCTTCTCCCACGCTCCATCTTTAATTCTCTCCCCTCTGCCTCCACCTGCATATAGCCTGCCTGGCTGTTGTCCTTTTTTCTTACCGTTCTATTATCTCTGAAACCCGTTTACGTGTCTCTTTATGGACTAGAGGAAGTTAATTAAAATGCCACAAAACCAAAATAGATATCATTAAATTAACGGCAAGTGAATAAGAAAGGGGTTTTGCCAATTTTGAGCAAGCGTTAGTGCTTATACACATAGATGTGTACATACTTCTATACTTGAGATTGACCTGTCTGTCAATCTGTGGCACTCACACAAATGTGGCTTCGGGAAGCGTTGCAGGGTTTCCGGGTCCAGGCCTTTTGAATTCAGCCACTCCACCAAGTCTGAGTGTAACAAGCTGAAAATTCTGTCTAAAATCAGGTGCAGGAGACCCGAGAGATTAGAGCAAAGACACCGTCATGTAGCAGCTCATTTCTATGTGACAGTAATACAACTCTTTAATTGTTTCAGTCAGCGTTAATCAGATAATAGAGAGAAGTGTCCATCACAGTGTCCTCAAGGACTTTGTTCTGTTTGAATTACAATTATTAGAAGAGAGAAATCTTCACATTACAGTATTATACATTATCATACAGTAATATACATTATTTCTGCTTGTTGGCTTTAGTTAATTATCGGTGGATGACTTAAAGAATGAGTTGAGCATTAGTGTTACGGGTGTGCACGGTAGCAATAGTGGGAACTTGGACAGCGGTTTCATCGCACCCCCGGGGTCAACTTCAGTTCTAATACCACAAAACAATTTCAGCTCACCATTTTATTAACTCTGGCTCAAATGCAAGATTGTGTTTGATGTGCAGAGTCCGGTGGGACTCACACACACACACACACACACACACACACACACACACACACACACACACACACACACACACACACACACACACTGCTCCCAATACACATGTGCACAGAAAACGGTCACACAGGCAAAGCCGTGCTCCATACAGCCATTTGTTTGATATACAGTGTGGGAAGGTCCCCAAAGAGAGGTTCAAATTAATGGGGTAATTATACACTGGAGGAAAAAAAAAAGCAGTCACACTCAGATTTATGTCTCCAAGAGCACGCGCACACACACACACACACACACACACAGTGTCCCTGATGGGACAGATTGTGTCTTTGATCCAAGGTCGACCACTCCTCTCTCTCTGGTCACCAGCTCCATTCACTTCCTCAGACCTCCTCCTGCTGCTGCTGCACAGGCTCTCTCTCTCTCTCTCTCTCTATTGTGTGCATGCCAGAGGCCGGCTGACCCAGTGCCAGCATCAGTCTCCATAGTTAAGTGCAGACTCGCTGGGGAGCTGCAAACATTACAACTGTTCAACAGAGGCGCTTCCAAACAAAACGCACACACACACACATTCCTGCACAAAGTGCCAGGGAAACAAACAAAGCCCATGTATTAACATGTGGTATAGTGCCATGATGAATGCAGTCAAAAGGAAGCGTATTAGTTATGTTGTTAGTGGTACAGCCCGAGAGGAGGAGCTGCCTTCATCAGTCATGGAGGTAGAGGAGGAGAGAGCAGCTACAGTAACCGCCGTCCTCCCTCATTACAGGCCAGCTTAAAAAAAAAAACACCTTTTGAAACTGCTGTGTTTGTAATTCTGACTTTCTTTTTGTGATTATACATCCAGAGCAACACTCGAAGACTGAGTCAGCCTGAGATTGTGAGACGAGTACAATCCAACAGCTGGAAAACCATTAGGCACTTGTTAGTTGAGGAGAGGTCGTGCTTGTGAGCATTGTTTTCTTCATTCACACGTTCATTTGTATATTTGTGTTTCGTCGAGTGGAAAAAATGTGATGCCCAACTAGAGGTGATAATGCAGTACTCTTCAGCCCGAGGCAGCCGGGCTTCAGCTGAGACAGCACTTTCTCTTAGTCTGACAAAGTCAATCTCTTTACTTTTCGCTCTCTCTCTAATCAAAACTTTACACCACGCTGCTCTTTGCAGAAGTCACATTATTATCTCTGATCAAATTCAGTTGACATGAAGCTCGGTGAGAATGCACTGGTGTCAAATAATGCTCACGTTACTGTGTGACAGTGTGGAAGCAGGTAGGAACGAGTTGGAGCAGGAAGCGGCGAGGGGGAACGGCGGTTAATGGAGCGAGAGAGAGAGTAGCTTAGAGCGATCCCAAAAAGGAGAACGGCAAAGCCTTAAGTCTCGGGGGAATTTGAAAGCCACAGAAATCCAGTTGCGGATATTAAGAGGCTTAATCTAAGAGCCTGGTGAGTTTTTGCTGTGTGGGCCCCGTCACTATCATCCTTGACAGAGGTTAAAGAGGAGACGAGGAGGGATGAGGAAGGGAGCGAGCCACTGCAGATTGGAGCAATGACGAGAATAGCCCGCGCATCCTTGCACGCTTTCATACGAGAATTAAACGGTGACATTGCGGCGCGGCTGTTTGTGTCTGCGTGCAGATGGTGGGACACCACAACAGTGACTGAGGTTTTTAACTCTTGTAGAAAAACCTGCTCAAACAGCGTGCAGTCAAAGCCCGGAGCATGAGTAAGATGTGAGGGGGGGGGGGGGGGGGGAGTTGTTTTGTCAGATTCCCTCCCCCCCTATTTTGGGAAGAGTAAAGGACCATGATATTTATGATCCTATATCATGCTGGTCCTCACTCCTTTAAGCTTCAAACCGGCCAGTGCACCATAGAGGGGGGAGTCCCGCATCTAGGTTTTTACGGACATTGGAAATGGAAAAGAAAAAAAACATTGTCACTAGTACGAAATCTAATTACTGCATATATCACAACTTTACACTGTAACAAATTGCTGTAAATTAAAGTTGCATATCTCACGGAATCTTACAGTATGTCATAACATCTGTAACATACAGGTAAATATCCATTCGTTGCTTGTAAATTAACGGCCCATGTCATGAAAAAACATAAAGTGGGGTAACAGCAAACCTTCAAAAGTCCTCCAATGCCCAGAAGCTGATTTTTCTCTCAATTTTAGAGACCACCATGTTCCACTCGGGGTCCCACATAGTTTTTGCTTTGCATACAAAGAAAGGGTTGCTTTGCAGGGAAATTACGGCTGATTGTTGTTTCTCAAATTCCGCGGCAGACTCCAGGAAACAAGTTGTAAGCTGCAATAAGCTGTCCAAGTCATTTAATTATCTCGATCCGTCTTTTTTTTTTATGGAGGCGCTTTTAATACGGTTTTACACATGACAGCATGTATATTAATCCACCACTGTCTCTGTGTGCAGGAGGCATAAACCGGGCCGGGCCGGCGGTGCCAACATTCTTGCGGACCCCCACCATGATCCAGCCCCACTTGGACATGAAACACTTCCTGCAATTCCCCATGGACACCACCCCTCCTCCGCACAGCATGAGCCTCTTCCACAGCTTCAACACGGTGAGAGTTGATGGTCGACACACAGGCAGAAATACACAGAGAGAGAGTTTACCAGTTTTAAAAAAACTGGCAAACACCTGAGAGCGGCCACTTTGTCCACACGATCTGGGAATCCAGGAGACATGCAGGAGAAGGTAACGTCAGCCAACGACATTACAAATGTCTGCTGTAATAGGCAGGCCTCAGTAAAACAAATCAGCGTCTTCCCATAACTGAATTATTTCATGAAAACACTCCTTTCCTTTCCTTATTTGAAAAGCACAGAATGAGAATGAGCAGTTCGAAGGCCGTCCCGACAGCTGGGTACTTCAAACCCCACAGTTTGTTTGATGTGGTGTTTATTTCAACGGAGAGGGATCTTCCTGTTCCCCCAGGCCCCCGACTAACATCTTAACATTTAGATTAGACCATAGAGACACTTTGCATTCCACCAGCTCAGCACAACGTGCCGCCTGTTCCATCCGCACTCCATCAGGGAACGTCAACACATTTCTTGTCAGCAATACGTAAAATCGGTGAACTTGGCACGTACTGAAATGCTTTTTTTGTCTGTTATTCTCTGCATGTGTAATCTAGTATTTTTGGGCTGAGGTTAGCGAAGGTGCGACAGCGATCCACTATTACTAATTGGAAATAACTGGCGAGGGCTTTCACTACGTATAATATTGGGATAGTTACAGGAGTCCAGACACCGCTAAGCACATTTTAGCGATGCAGTCATTTCTAATAGGCCTCCACGGGCCGTGACATGAGTGGAAGAATTCGCACTGATGTTAAAACTGCAGCGTACCCAGCAGGCATGGATTAATAAGGATACTGAAATTACGCCGGCACTCAGTTTCCACTCTTGCTCTTTCCTCTGAAGGATTCCCTCTGAACGTCTCTCCCTCCCTCATTCTGTAACATCCCCCTGCTCCCTATCGTCCTTATCAGAACGTTAGCAATATCTCAAAGTCCACAGGGATGCTGTGAATATTAATAGCTGTTGGTGCTGATGACTGCAAGTGGAGTTTTACAGCCCCGCGGCGGCCAGGAGATGGGGCCATAGGAGAGGCTTGAAGGGCAGTCTGACCTTATAGCTCCACTGCGCATAGGCACGTACACATCGGCAGTACGTTTAGGCTTTTACTGCACTGCAATAAAAACAATTGACGAGGAGAAGCGCACGTGATGCCTGGAGTGTCACGCACGGTTGTTTTACATGTGACATGAACAGAATGCATCTGTGATCTGTAAAGTGCAAAACAACTGAGGGCTCGGCCTCGAGGCCCTTCTTTGGATAGCTCTCTCTCACTTGTGAAGCTTTTAAGCAGAAGATCAGAGTATTACTGATGACGCTTTCATTCAACTACATGAATAGAGGGTGAACTAAGATGATATAACATTTAAAGGTACCATTTCCAGTGCATTAGATGCTTCCTGGTGCCTTTTCGCTGTAACCCAATGGGATAAATGTATAATTTGGACACTATGTCAATGGAGACACAGGCATTGCAGCAGTAACACTGCGATGCGTCCCTGCCAGAAGATAACAGCAATCCTAGTTATTAAGTGATGTGTGCAGAGTTTGTCCCGTCTTAATGGGACTCACGTTAATGGTTATTAGCCTCATAGCAGACGAATGGCCTCTCTTAAAGCTGTATACACTTTTAATGGCTAGCCGATGTGATTTGTCCTCTACCTGCCTGTCCCGCTCAGTGCGCCTCTAGACAGTGACAAGGCTAAATTATTTATTTGCGGCAGCTGGTCCTTATGCAGACACCCCCGCATACGTCTCTGAGGCGAGATGCGTGTCCCGAACGGGCTGCAAAGTCAGGAATTCCCAATGAAACTGGCCTGTTGAAGCTCACAAACTGTCCCGGCCTTTTTTCTTTTCTCATTCTCCTCCTAAACAACTCTCGCCGCGTGTCTTATTGCTGCATCAATGTCCCCCCAGAACAACTGATGAACAACCCCTGCACGTTTTAGACAAATCTAAATTGTGATCCCATAGAGCGCGTTTTAGGGCTTCCTCTGACCTTCTGCGCTTCAATGTCTGGCTGTAGGGCGTCACATGTACCTTGAAAGCAGAGTTGTAGTCTATGTGGGCGTGTGCGGGTGAAGTCATATGTGGTTTGGTTGGGGGTTGATGGGGCGGGCAAAAGCTCCAGAGGCTGATGATGGCATTTGGTAAACGGTGTCAAGAGAGAGGGGAGTCGAGCGGGAGGAGGGTGGGTCACCCAATCTTGGCTACATCTGGAGAAATCTAGTATGCATGAAGAAGGGGCCGCTTGGGTGGAGGAGGCGGGGGGGGGGGCAGAGAGAGAGAGAGAGAGAGAGAGAGAGAGAGAGAGAGAGAGAGAGACTGTAAGCGAGCGAGGGAAGGGGAGGAGAAAACTGAAAAGCAAACTGAGGGTAATGCACTGTAGGGAAGCGTAAGACAGAAAGAGTGAAAGAGAGGAGAAGGAATACGATCAAAGGGGACTCGCACTTGTTAGGTGATGTTTGAGTGGAAAAAGAGAATAAGGCATCGATTTGAGAAGAAATCCTTACAGCACCTTCTTCTTCTCTGTCAGCGTTTTAAAGGGAAGCAGAGTGAGCCGAAAGGGCAAAAACAAAAAGATGGCATTATGAGGAAAAAGTGAGATTTTTTTCTTCTTCTTCTTGAGTTGTTGTATTCAGTATTGACAAGCAACCAGAGGGCTGAATGAGTGAGGAAGGTGCGACACGTACTCTTAATCTTACACATGCTGAGGCTCAAACACACACCTTGGCCATCAGCGCACACACAGGAGGACCAATGCAGCTCCCTGCTTCATCAGACACAGAGGAGAAGAAGGTGAGTACCTAAATGCTCGCTGGAGTTCTTTTATTTTTTCTAATCTGGACCCAACTTAAAAGTACTGTAGAGCTTAGAGTCTCAACGGCTGTTCTTATCTGGCACAGCGCAGACTCTTGTGGGAGTGCCAGAGCGGTCCCACTGAGAGTCACAGGCCAGTGTAATTCCTCATTGCTGGAATTCCATCCTTCCAAATACGTTGTTGCTGAGGACAGATCGAACGCACAGAGGACAGCGAACAGAAACGAAGGAAGGAGGAAGGACTGAGGAATAAACATGAGAGTGAAGTGAGAGTTGAAGAAAACGCCTGTAAAAGTATGAGGATGTGATGAGTTTAGCTGCATGTTGCGTTGAGAGAAGCTTGGTTGCTCTTTGGTCTGTGTCTCATCAGAAGAAACTGTAAACAAAAGGCTTTAAGGAGTGGAGGTCGTAAGGATGCGAGCACTGAGTGATACTTAAGTCAATGAACTGTGAGCTTTACTAACATCCATTTCACCGCATTCAAACAGCTTATACTCATTTTTTTACTGGGCAGATTAAATACATTAAAGGGATATAAATCACCCACTACTGATGCAGAAAACACTGCCAAGTTAAAAGACATTTGGTGATTTTCTCAAAATTGGTCAAGGCAACTTGATTGAGTTTTTGAAAATCCCCCTCCACTTACATCACAAGGCTCAGCTCCTATTTCATGAGGTCTTGTTTTGGAGAAGAAATGGGTTGAGGCCAAGTGAGCTCCCCTCCAAAAAGGCTTATTGGCAGCTGGGCGTTGTTTTTAACAGCTGAATATACTGGATGGATCACAGCGGTCCCACACACAGAGCACTGTAGGCCCGGATGGGGAGAAGCTCATGATTTATGTGTACAATTACACCACCGAGGCCTTATTAAACTTCATCGGTCACTGTAATGTACATTGTATATAACTCTTATAGTTATGCTTGCTTGTGATGTGGGAGTTGGGTTTATTTTGGTTCTCTTCGGGCTGCCTCTTGCAAAGCAGCTGAGGTATTCATGCAGTTGTATTCATCCACCATTGCTCAGTGGGCCCATCCCATTCGATCCCTTTGAATTCACAGCGGCAGTAGAGGCTACTTTAGGCCATTTCTGGGAACAGAAATAGAGGGTTTCATGGAACGTGGACTATGGGGGAGAAAACCAAATTAGATAAGAATGTGCAGTGATAGGATGTCCGGCCTAGGCCTCTTTTTCTCCCTCTATTTCTGGGTTATTTTGCATTCCTCCCTCCCTTTCTCCCTCTATCTGTCCCAATCCATCTTCCTCTCCCAGTACCCCAGATGGTGTGTTTCTGTATCGTCATGCCACCCAGCTAAATGTCTCGGGCCTCCTCCCCTTTTCATTCTCTCTCTCTGTTTACCCTGTTTCCTTGGAGTCACTGAGAAACATCCAATGTGCAGAATTCTAAATGGAGGGTGCATGAGTTGTAACAATATTCATTTTAGCCGCCCTTTTCGTCTCCGTCCCTTCATGTGGCTTCTAGGTGAGACTACGGTTCGAGGTGCAAAATAGCTTCAGAGACAGTTTGGCATTCACCTAATTGCACATACAGATGAGCCAAATTGAGTAATTTACAGTCTGTAGCTCTCTCCAAAACAAAAAAAACAGGCTTGCATCAGACTTGGAGGACTGTCTGGAACATTTGTTGAGTGAGTTCTGAATTCAAAACACACATAGGGTCATATCCATTGTGTTCCTCAGGCAAGGAATATTTATTCATTTTACATTGCCCCAACGTCTTAAACGTTGAACGCTTGGCCTTCTCAGTGCCAGACAATTGTTTATGGTGGAATTCCTCACCAGCCGCACACTCCAGACTAATGCAAGGGCCAATTAACAGTGATCAGTAGATAAATGCAGCTTCAAACAGATACATAATTAGAATGAAGCCCTTCCAGATCCATACAAGCAGGGTCTCTAGTGTCCGGGACAGAGTTTTAAGTCGGCAGCTTAGCCGCCGACCCCTTGTAGAGTTAAATGTGCGCGAGGTGCTTTAAACAATGCAGATGATGGACGTCTCAGCTGAAACAAGTGGCACAGGGAACTGAATGAACCACAACCTGGTCAGTACACAGACGTACAGCAAACACTGCGTTGCACTATAAATACCTGCTTTATTCACGCAGTCAGTTTGACTTTCAAATTCAGTCTCTTGGGCAAAAAGCGCTTGGAGCTCGCCCTTCTACCCTCTGAGGTAAGGGGCAAGGACCAACCCGTCGACTTTTACCACCGACAGCTCAGGACGGCAGTAAAAGAGTATGAATTATAGCTCACAGATGCCTCTCTTTCTTTGTCTCTTCCCTCGTCAGATGGACCCGGTGCAGAAGGCTGTGATTAACCACACCTTTGGAGTTCCACTGGTGAAGACCAAGCGGCCAGTCATCTCCTGTAACGTTTGCCAGATCCGCTTCAACTCAGAGGTACAGAAATATAGAGCGAATTCATCTCTCGTGATGGGTGCATTCTCCGCCTTTTATGCGCCGTTCACTTTAGTGAATATTTATCAGCTGTCCGGAGCGCGGGTATTGACTTTGTGGTGCATTTGGCCTGCGTTTTGGCAGTTGCGACCTTGTTGGAATTTAATTTATTTTAAGAAGGATTGGAGTTCGAGGCAATAATCACTGCAGCACAAAGCTGAGAGAGAAATAGGATGTTAGCCTGTGATTTAAAATAGATATTCTCTTTCAATGTTGACAGAATTTGAGTAAGATCTTTATTATGTTTAAACTTGATTTCACTCAAGTATGCCATGTAGTGAAAATCTCTTTAGAATTAACAACAACACGTTTTTCATGATTCAGTTTTAGTCAATCCATGATTTAAAACACATTTTCATCTGCACATATGGTGTAGTTTCTATCCAAACTTTTAATTGGAGTTTAACGACACGCTAAACCCCACGGCAACTGGCATACACAACTGACCATAAATTAAAGGAAACAAAAATCAAGAAAGTATTCAGTTTGTTGGCAACTAATTTTCAGTATTTTCTTCTTGCTGTGGACAAATAGGATCCAACAGAACACATGACAACAACAGCTCCAAATGGCATGTGTGCAGTGTGTCATTTGGCAGTGATGCTCCCTTTTCAGTGGTGCAGACTTCGGGGCCAGGGCGTACATGCACCCACAATACACAGCATTAAGGAGTGGACTGGTTCTATATATACTCCTCAGGTCTACAATTAGGTCTCCATGTGGTCAGGGAGCTGCAGGGCTGTAATCGTAAGCTTACTCTTTGCAGATGTCTCCACTGGAGGAGGAAACAAAGATGTTCATTTAATGAAATACTTTCAGCCCCACAGCTAGTGGCTAACAACACGTCCTAAGTTAGGATGTACAGGACATCTGTGAAGAATTGTAAATGTTAACGTAGGGTTAAACTGTTGTTTTAATGACAGCTGACTCCAGACTCTACTGTATTTTCTTTCACATCAGCCCTAGAATATAGATGAAATACAAATGTGGGGAAGCAGGTGCAGAGTGGGGTGGTGAATACTGTTAATAGCACTAGGCTGCACTTTACCTCTCAAATATTTGTTGTTTTCTGAAATGAACAAAAGATAATTGGCCAGTCTTCCCACGTCATGCACAGATCGCTCTTCCTCACTGTGCTACAAACACTGATGGCTTAATCTACAATTGTTTTCAATTTCAAGAGAGACCTGGGTGCCATCATTATATTGCCACAACATACAAAGAACGCTGCCCCCCCAAAAACAGGGATGCTTTCCCAAAACCATCTGAATAATGAAAGAAAAATAAATGTTAGTGCATATTGTTAAAGTTGAATGAGAATTGTTCCCCTTGTTCTCCTCACTGAAGCTCGTGTTTATTTGTGAACATATGGAACCGGAAATAGCGGCACGCAGCGGAGTCTTTTCTTCTAGCTCAAGACATCCCGTGTATCCACACGTGAGTCCTCAGCACTCTGATATGCAGGATAACAGCACCTCTCCGCTGTCGTCCACTTTAGCTTCCAGCGTGCAGACAAACACGTGCACTGCAATAAACCACCAATGTCAAACTTGAAGCAGGCGTGTGTGTAATTTGTGCTGCGCTACTAAGCTACACTGGAGAAAAAGTTGTCCTTTTTTCATCACCATGACTCCCCCCCCCCCCCCCCCCCACTGGTCTTTTACATAATGGCAAGGGAGGGAAAATATTTCATGACCGAAAAAAATACAGCGGGGAACACTTCAGTAGAAACTTGTGCTGCAGTCCTCACCTCGTCTTCTAGTTCTGGACTCTGAGAAGACAATCATGTTGGCCCACATTTCTCCGTCTTCATTTGCCACCTGTGCATTGATGGGTAGTTCAGGTGTTTTGTGTAGCTGAGACGGTGTCTACCGTTAGTTATGACCAATGTATTTGTCTCCAGAAGGATCCGGTTCTGCCTTGCTGCTCGCGCCCTTTGCTCTCCTCATTTCACGCATCATTTTTCCATCATCCACGTGTCCCCATTTGATCTTTCTCTCTCCGCCTCTCTCTCTCTCTCTCAGTAATTTCTCCCACTCTTTCTCTCCGTCTCCCTCTCTTGTGCTACGTTATTTACAGTGTGGAAATGCCTGAAATTGCCTGCCACTACTTATTATAAGATGCATTTGTCAAGGGCATGGATTAGTGTCTGGCTCTGACAGCCCCAGTGCATCTTGGGAAAGTGGGAGCGAGGAGAAATGGAGGGGAAGGAGAGGAGAAGAGGAACGGATGAGGGGGGGGCTTGTGCCCCGCTTTCCCTCCGTCGCGTGGTGGTGTGAGGTGTTTAACGGTGGTTTATAACGACCTTGGTGGTGTGCTGCATTAGTGACATCATCGGCTCTGTTCCGCTGCATTGACCAGCGTCACAGCTGTTTGCAGCAATACTATTGGCTGATGTACATCCCTTATTATCTTCTACAGCATATGCCCCTCCCCTTTAATTCCTGCTTGTTTATCTATCAGTTCTTCTTTTTCACTTTTAACTCTCATCTGGAGCTGCAACTCTAGCAGCACTGCCTCCTTCCTTAGAACGACTGGCTCCGTTTGAACCGACTGCGTAATGAAGAACAGGCTTCACAGGCTGATGTGATGCAGTTTTTCCTCTCTCTGACTTTTTTTGTCTCTTTTATATCACTCCAATTCTCTGTCCGGGTCTTGACACAACCTTCCTTGTCATGTAGTTCCCTGGCCGTCCATCATATCCCCGCCGTCTTGCCTTCACGCTCTCCCTCTCCTCTTCATCCAGGATCTCACACTGATGCTCACCAGCTCGGCAGATGACACACTTTGCTTATGGGAGCCTCTGTGGCGGCTCCACCGGGGCCCCACCATGTACTTTTTCAACCCTTTCTTTCATCTGAAAGATCTATTCTCTGTCAGCAGCCCCCCCCCCACCACCACCCAACACCACCCAACCCACACGCCTTTTGCGGCCCACATCTCTCCCGCCCTTGATCTACAGGCTTTGTTGCAAGTGGGCTGCTATATCTAGAGCCCAGCTTGTCATCATGATTTACAAGAAATGCGATATTGTAAATGACTTCAGCCGCTGGTTCACCCTGATAGCTCACGTCTCAGATGAACATCAGAAACACACGTCCAACAGACACACAACCGGGCTTACAGACATTTGCCCCCCTGTCAGTCTATCCTCACTCCTAGGCCTGTGGTCAGGGTGATGTCCTAAGTTCTTCAAGCCTTTCAGCACCGATGGCAGCTGCCAGCCTCTCTTCAGGACCATGCCTCTCCCTGGAAACTAGCTACTTGATTATCATCTTTACAACTGGAGGATTATTTAGCAACGTGACAGCATACATCTGCTCAGAGGAAATGCACGTGGAGACAGCAGGGAGCTATCTGACTCAAGTGCTGCATTGACATGAGGTGTCTGTGTCAGCAAGCAGCCTGTTTGTATTGCTATTTAAATTGAGGGACGCTTAAATCATGACGGAGGGGAAGTTAAGAGTGAGCGAACAGATGGCAAATGGAATTCATTCAGTACATTATGTACCCCCCCTCCCCCCCCACATGAATGTATCTGTGTATGCTTTGTGTTTTGTTCCACTTGTCCCCATACCGCTAAGCTGCCATAGTAACCCTGCACCTGATAGGCCATGTTGTTCCAGGCGCACATACCTCTGTGCAGGAACACAAACATACAACAACGAGAGTCAGACTTTGCTGTTCTCCCTCCTGACAAACGAGCACTTGTTTACCCTCCGAACAAACACATTAGCTAGCAGTTAGTCTTTCATCGTGCGATTAGCCACAAACCAGCTTCTGTAAAAGATATCTGCAACATTTTTTTTTTATTCTGTGCTGGAATATCCGGCCCCCCTGTAAACCTCCAGCCTCCCACTGGTAATGTGTCATTTAATAGTGCGTAGATAGTGTGGCATCTCGCTGACGACCTTTGACTGTCTGTCAGCGTGGCTGCAGCGACGAAAAGGAACGGTCAGGATGTGTGTAGAGCTCTGGAATGCAGATTCTGTTCAAACTTTGAGTACAGAAATGGGTGATCCACAGATGCACGTGCTGTTAGACTCCGCAGTAATACACCGCAGTATAAGGTACAAGTCATTTTAAAACCTGACCTTGAGGGGACTAAGAGACAACGGGGGGCCGAGGGAGGTCTAGGTCTCAAACGTTTCCATCACCGTGTCTTTTTGTTATTCATTCATCCTTCCACTGTAAACCTGCCTGCAGGCCGTGGCTCAGAGGGCCTGTTGAATAACACGCTATCATAATAACAAGCGCATGCGTGTGCTGTTGTCACAATGTGTCTGATTAAGTCTGCAATGTGTTTTTCCTCTGTTGGCGTTGTTGTCCACTTACATCATGAACTTGTCTTTTCTTTTTGTCCGTCTCCTTCTACAGAGTCAGGCAGAAGCCCATTACAAAGGAAACCGGCATGCCAGGAGGGTGAAAGGCATTGAGACCTCCAAGACTCGCCCTCAGGACGGGGACAAGCCTCATTCTGCGCCCAACACCTCCTCCCCGTCTCCGGCCAATGCCCCCGGCACTGCTCTGGACAGCGGGCCGAATCAAGCGGGTGAGACGGCGGAAAATGATACTAGAAAGAGGAAAAAAATATAGTTCATGCTTAATTAATGAAAACAGCCTCTGATTAGATACCTGAAGGGAAACAGGTTTACAGGGAGATCAAACTATACAATATGGCTTTATTAGTTCACATCACAGGCTTTTTGTTTTCATTCCGCACAATTCCGTTCTCGTCTGACTGACTGCTGAGTAGCACAGAGAGGAGTAGACTAAAAACAGCTTCATGAGTGACAGGTGTATAGAGAAATCATTACAGTAACACACGAAAGACCCTGTATTTAGTCGAGTCCGACCACAACAATGATTTGCTCAGCTGGCCGATGTTAAACTGGTTGGGTGCCTCTCTGTGAGCGGTGAGGGTTGGCATACGGTCACATGGCAGTTTCCCGGCATTCGCACCATTTGCCAGAGAGTGAAAATAGACCCTATTGCCTGAGCTCGGGGTGCTGGTAATCAGTGCTAAGACTTATTGAGGAAAATAAAGATGACACCACTGAGGAAGAGCTCGTCCACAATCAAAGCCGGCATCGGAAAGGACACAGACAGCAGCTGATCTGGCTTTAATGAGGAGTCGTTTATTTTTGGAAGACTTTATGCCGTCGGTAAGGACGGAGGGCATGGCAGAGGAGCTGCGAGCTCTTTCTTTAGCAGCACCTTTTTAGCCCCGACTCTCCTGTCTCAAGTTCTGTCTCCCCGACTTCCTCATCTTCCTATTTGAAGCCACAATCCAGAGACTGGGTCACCTGTGTGTTTGCCCTTCTCCTTTCTCCACCCTGTTTTTTTCCATTCCCTCAGTGTACTCTGTCCTTGGATCAAACACAGAGCACTGAATAGTCCGGCCATGTTTTGATGACATTTACAAAGGTGTCTGTAGCTGTTTACAAGACATTTCCACCTCATGGACCGAGAGGCAAAAAGCAAATACGAAGAATGCAGAGACAATACCAAGGTCAACTTAAGTTTGCAAGAAAACAACACACCAGAAGAAGAGGGCCAGCGCCAGGCCTGTCACCATTAGTAAGAATCCCCGGGGCGAGCTCCAATAGTCTTAAGAGCCAAAACAAGCCTGCCATGACCGAAATCTGAAAGTAGCAACATGAGAAAGAATGCCTTTTTCCATCCCGGCCTCTTTCTCGTGACCCTGGAAGCTCGTCCTTTCCTGCCCTGCCTGCGTGTCCGCTTGCTTGAGAGTGTGCACTGTTTGTGTGGATGCATGTTCTCTAGGGGACCCTGTCCCTCTACTATATAGGAGGGGGACGGATCAAAGGCGGCTGCGTGTAGCCTCTACTGGAAGCAGCACCTGGAGGACGGACACAGTGGTTTGGCCTGTGGACACTAACATGGGTCACTACGGGGCAGATGCTAAGATGCAACAGCATGCATAATGCATCCGAACACTTGTACTGTACCATGTACTGGTAATGAGAAGGTGGGGGCAGTGAGGGGCTGACCAATGCAAGCGCACCGATGGAAGGACAAGGGGAAGATTTCCCACGGTGCAAATCTCCCACACAGCAGAAAAACATTTGTACTTGATGCTGAAACGCTGGTTTCTTTATCGATACTAGAAAACATAACTTAGTTCAGGCGAGCTCTGGTATGACGGCCTTATAGAGCGCCGCTTCTTATTAGCATTTCAAACGCACTCAGCAGAGATGGCTTTGATCAGAGACCTGGCTGCAGGCTGAAGCAGTGCAAGGTCCTTTATGGCAGTGCTGTTAGCATATGGCTATCAGAACAGGTCACGAGTCTTATACCCTTCAAAGCGTTTGCGTTCAAAACTGCCCCCAGAGGAGGCCTGTGGCTTTGCGGGATTAGACTTGGTGAGCTAACGGTTTGGCTGAGCGATGGGGAGACAGCTGTTTGCTCCGTCCCTCATTCCCATCCTCTTTACCGCTGTGCTGTCCGACACTCCCAATCTGATGAAGAGTTAAAAATCACACTGATATTACGCCACTCTGGAGGCCACACCGACGCTCGCACACACACAACCGAGGTGAATCAGATGGATGACTTTCATGTGGGGGCTTCGGTTGCATGCCTGTGAGCTGACTGTTGTGTCGGGTTACACAGAGCTGATCTGCGTTTCATGCTCTTTATTCTTTTTTGTTGTTAGTTTGGGGGATCTCAAGGGATTCACCAGTTAAAGCTTTTTCTCTTTGGAGTGCTATTTGTTTAAATCAACCTAAAATAGTGAACATAAGCATCTAATACACAGTTGCATGTTTAGATGTGTGTGTGTGTGAGAGTGGCAGCGACTCAGAGTTCGGATGGAGGCCAGACTGGGAAAAAGACACCCAACTGCATTATGAATGAGGCTCGGCTGTTGTCGGGCCAGCATTGAGTTTCTTGGTGCATTAATCATTGAGAATTGTCAGACAGAAACATTCCAGCCTACAAACGATGTTGCCAAGACGGAACCAAGTTAATGTTAAACCTCCTGGTGAAAATAGCTTGACCAGTATCTCCCGAGCCTCTGAGTTTGCCTTGGTTTTAAATGTCAACACTTTCCTTTAACATTTGAAACAAAGTGTTTATATTACTGGCCCACATCCAGAGACCCGGTTGAGCACGGCAGTAAATGTTTTGTTCTGCTTTCAACTTTACATTTGAGATCATAAAAAAATGCTTATTCATTGCCGGGTTTGCGACTAAATGTGACCACTTACATTCTTTGTAACAATAAGGAACATTTGCTTACATGGGCCCTCCTTATTATGGCGCTTTCCACACCAATTCCACCATCACATTTTTTATTTACATTGACTCTTGCAGTAAACAAAGGAAGTTGTTTTGTCTGAATTGGACTTAGTCTGCACTGAATCCCACGGCTTCATCAACAAAACCTCTCCCCATGGATTGCAATCTATACATAGCCTTCATTTCCTGAGGTGGATTAAGGCAAAGCAGACTGTGGAGTAAAGCATCTGGACATAGTTATCTCTCTCTGCTGACCTCTCCCAGTGAAAAATGCCTTCTTCGGTTTGGCTATGAAGGAGGAAGGTCAGTAACCGCCTTATCAATGTTTAGTTGGGCTGTAAGAATATAGTTTCTGCAGTTTCAGCTAAAAAAAACAAATACATCGGTTATTTCTCAGCACCTTGGATGGAATAGAAAATCTCAAATTAATGCTTTTAATCAGTCAGGAAACATAACCGAAAAATATTTTGCTGTTGAGTGAGATTTGTAATTTGGGGTTGCTGAGTTATTATGGACAAGAAGGTCCTGAGGAGGATGACCTCAAGCTGAACTTGTGCTAAAGGGGGGTGAGTGTAGAAGACGCTGGGTGTGGTATGAGGTGAAACAGTGACTGGATGTGACGGTTTGGAAAGGTCGACCTCCATCCATCCAGGATCACAAAATGCCTTATTACTGTTTGGCCAACCGTCTCCATCCCTCCCCACGTCATATTAACTCAGACCACATGTCATGGCCGCTGGGGATTCTGGGTTGGTTTCTTTTGCATAGCAATGAAGTCCCGTGTTCACGTATGTGCCTGTGTGTGGCAAAAATGAATGAACTACTGAGAGAACCATCAGCTCCTCTTGTCATTTTGCCTTCTGCACTTAAATGGGAGCTCCGCAATTAACGCCGGCGTGTGGCAAAGTAAACCCATGATGAGTGACCAAACCCTCCAAAGATCGCTTGACCTCCAACTGCACCCGGTTCATGGACTCCCTCATGTTCTCTTTTTTTCCTTCGTAAGAAAACATGTGTTTGAAGCTCTGTATTCAGGCTAGTGGCTCTGCCGCTGGAAACTTCCAATATGTAAAAAGGGGAAGTTTTGATCTTGGATAACAGTGAAATGGAAAGCAATCACAATGGGATTCATCACAGATGATGCAATGGAGTAGCCAGAGCAACTAAACATCACACACATGGACACAAAATATGTATGTCACAACCCTTATGGATTCTGCCATGTTAGAAAATGACAAAGCACATGGGAATCATCAGTCATTATTTAGTTTTCTTCCCAGAAATACTCAACGTTATCCCTTAATCCAGGGGAGTTTCCACGGCCTGCGCTGGGCGCTACAGCTAGTCGCCTCTAATCGGGGGAGTTCTCAACACGCCACCCAAATTTAGGGGTTTCTTTTTTCAGTCAACACCCATCGCTTAAAGAATAAGAAAGGGGCTGCTTATGGGAGGGGCTGACCAGAAACATGTGTCTGGCAATGTAGAAATGAGAGTGTTCTATTATTAAAAAGGGGGAAGGAAGAGTAGGTGTCAAGCTTGCAAACACGTGCAATAATAAGAAATTAAAACTACAGAGAGCGAGCGGGAGGAGAGATGACAGAGAAAGTGCTATTTGGCTACAAACTTTGCCAAAAACAACAGGTGTTTTGGAAAGAGTCAAAAAGCGCGTACGTTGTGGTACCCGTTTCCTTTTTCTCACCTTGGAAAAATTTCAATAAGACGAGACCACATCAGTGAAAGACTCGCTTGTGCCTTGACACATATGAGACGTTTTTTCCTCCTCTGATCTACTTTATATGTGCCTTTAATTAAAAGGATCTTTTTTTTAACCATTATGCCCTATATACATTACAGGAAATTAAAATAACTGCTCCGTCTCATCTGAGCAGCAGACTGTGGCTTCCGATTTCAGCTGTGTGGAAGTGCTGTGGTTTAACTTAACAGAAATGGGCTCTTTGCTTCATTGCTGAGTTCATAGACAATGAAGTCAATAGTTAGGCACTTGTTTTGAATGATGTGCTCTGTGGAACACAAAATCCGTTCTGTTATTTGCCTTTGCACTGCATTTGACATGTGTTCTGTTTCTTCCTCTGTCTGTGTCTCTCTGTTGTTTTGCAGACGAAACACAACCCCTGTCGCAATTAAACGTGGCCCTGCTGGCCCCGGGGCCCCTCCCCGCTCTCAACACCCCACCCACCCCGCCCGTGGACTCCCCCATGCCCTTGGCGTGCCCGCTCCTGCCCGGCCCCATGCCCCTCCTGAACCCCGCCGTTTCATCCTCCCCAGGCTGCGGCCCTGGCAGTGCCCCCTCAGAGCAGCCGGGGTCTGGACCCCCTGTTCCAGGAGCCGGCGGCATCGCTGCTTCCAGCGCGTCCAACCCGGAGACAGAGGAGGACAAGGCCAAGAAGCTGCTGTACTGTTCACTGTGCAAGGTGGCGGTTAACTCCTTGTCACAGCTGGAGGCCCACAACAAAGGTGGGTTCGTCCGATTGCACGTTGCAGAAAGTCACTGGCAATGAAAATGTGTGGAATTAACAAGGTATTTTACAACGAAAGATCACTGTGGCAACTTGAATATATTAAATTAATTAATATTTGTTAATTTGATACATTATTGGACTCACAGACAACACCAAACTGATCAATGTAGGAGAAGAAACTCGTTAAAATAACGCATGAGAGAGTGCCTCACTCGGTCATGATTAGTCTTTTATATTCAACATTCAGTCAGACAACTTTCACACCCAACAGGCCCCTGAGGGCCTCGCCGCCTGCTTTTATCAATTATGAGCCGGTGTTCCTGTAAGCACAGTTTGTGTCCGCTGACCTCCACTGTTCAACACGGATACACTCTCCTAAAACATGAGAGAAACTACTGTCTGTAACCGTGTGCGCTTTGCTTTGAGTTATGTTCTGGTGCAGCCAGCTCAGACAGACAAGAACGCAGCCAACAAATACCTCCTAAGCTTGGGTGAAAATTACACAAATCAACCTTTTATGGTTGAATAAACTAATGCTTTTGTGCTTTATCACTGATTAGTATCAGTCTAACAGCGCAACAATACGTGTGTGTTACTGTACATTGGTCTTCCAGCATGTTACATATGTAAGTATAACCAGACACCAGTCTAACGTCACCCGGGGGCCACAGCTCCCAAATGTAATGCCTGAATGCCAAATTGAGTAGAAACAAAGTAAGCAATCTGGAAACGATCACCCTCACTGATTCTGAAAATGAAAACTATGCATGTTAGCGGGGTTCAATTATCAAAGCATATGTCATGCAGACTTGGGCAGCATGCGTGGCCTTTTGTGTGATAATGAACAGCAGAAATCACAAAAAAAAAGCCATTGCCTGTTCAAATGCGCCTTGTATGCTCGGCGTTCTACACAATGAGTCAACCACACGAAGACAAACTCCACGGGCCATCTAGTTTCAGACTAAAATAGAACAAAGGCACAAACAGAGAGCTTAAGAGCACATTTCCTGGCCGAGAGCGAAATCTGTCATTCCAGCCTCCCGCTCCCCCCAGCGGAGCCCCCCAGTCTCCACGTCTGACCATTTCCCTCTCTTGTGTAACGTTAACTCTGTTCAGAGGGAGAGTGACTCAAAGACGGTGGGGGGCTTTGCTGCGTCATCGGGGTCGATCGGGGGGCATAGCTAATTATTTTTAGCCAAAAGCAAAATGTGTGATTGTTTTTTTCTAATTAAGAAAACACTGCATAAAGACATTCCTCATGTTATGAAACAACAACGTATGAAACATGCATTAGTTTGGAATCTCTTGTAATTTCCTTTTTACGGGCAATTGGACCTCTTTTATTGAAGATCTGACTAAATGTATTTTTTTAATTGCTGAAATAAAAAACAGAAGGTTAGAATCCTGACTGGACTAATAGCAGGCATTGGGTGGATTCTGACGTTACAATGTCTCAGGTCACATGTAACTGTAGTACTTGGTATTGCCAGGAGACAGTATCTAGTGAATAGAAATGTCTATTTCATCATGGGACCAGGGCGGTAAATGTCTGACATCAAATCTAACCTCAGACTAGACAGACGCGCTTCTCTTAATAACTTTCCATATTTAAACATTTACAGTCTAAATGACAGAGGGTTCAGTAGTCCAGAGCCTTTATTGATGTTGGCACAAGTGGTAATACACTTCAGTACAGTGCAAACCGCTCGCCTGATCAAACATGATCCACCGTTTTACTGGAATATAAACATTGGAGAAGTTTTATCTTCCCACTGCACAGCTGTTTGTGTGCAGCCCTCTAGTGGTAGACACATACCACTACAACCTCACACAGCGATATGATGCATGTGGTCAATTATTGGAGAATTAAGCCAGTGTTACAAATCTTTTCTTCTATAATGCCCTTCTATTTGTCACTGTCATTGTTCCTCGATCACTTTGATTAGTTACAGAAAAAAGGCTGTCGGGATTAATTCGATATTAGAAGGGTAGCAGAGGCATGGCTCATTTGGCATAAATGATGATGCATCTCCACTGTATTATTTAATTCTATTGTATTAGCTTCTAATTATGTAATTTCATCTCGGGCCTGTGCCGTTCCTGACCTTTTTGTTTTCCCCCCCGTGTGTCGGTCTGCAGGTACCAAACACAAAACTATCCTGGAAGCGCGGAGCGGGCTGGGCCCCATCAAGGCGTATCCTCGCCTGGGCCCCAAGCCCATCGGAGAGCAGGGAGGGGGGCCGGTGGACCCCAACACTCAGGAACGAACCTTCCACTGTGAGATCTGCAATGTACGGGTCAACTCTGAACTGCAACTCAAACAGGTAACAGCAAGAAATTATACTTTGTACCTTGTCACAATGTAAAACCCAGGGTCAAAATAATAGGCTGTTAGATATGGCATATTATTTCGTTGGGAAAATTACAATAAGTCTTGTTCCTGTCTTTTAGCACATATCAAGTCGAAGGCACCGGGACGGCATGGCGGGCAAACCCAACCCCCTACTCAGCCGACACAAGAAGAACCGGGGAGCTGATCTTACGGTAAGTCTCCCTGTTGAATACGGACTCAATTGAACGGACTGAATTAGGATGTATGATACATCTGGACTATGTTTTCCCACCACGTGTTCTTCCATCTGGAAACCAATCATTTCATGTATCTCTCTCTCTCTTTCTTTCATTCTCTTGTCTTGTGACCCCCCTTCGGTTTGCAGTCTTCACTGAGCTTCTCCAAGGATCTTACCAAAGCGCTGGGTGCAAGGCTCCTGCACAACCCCTTGGCCGTCGCCGCAGCGATGGCCGCTGCAGCTTCCTCAAATCAGATGGCTCTCCGTGCGGCGGCGGCGGCGGCAGCTCCTGGACACCACCCGCACCTACCGCACCTACCCCACCACCCGCACCATCACCTATTGCAAGGCCCTCATCTCAGCCACGCCATTCTGAGACCCGCCCCCGGGCCCATGCGCACCACCCACGGGCCAATCCTTTTCTCCCCTTACTGACACATCACCCTCTGACCTCGGCCGGTCAGGAGCAGTCACTCTAAAAGCACACTGTGAAGATACAAACATGATCAACTACGAGGAATTGTTAAAGGGGTGTAAAATCCAACCATTTAAATACTGAACTGAAAGAAATGCAAGGGAAAGGAGCACCAGAAAGTAGTAGACATCTTTCCTCCCTTTACCTGACCCTCCATTTCAAAGACTTCGTAATCATCCACATATGGAAGGAGCCGAGGCTTCATTATGCATTGAACTTCCCTGTACACCCCCCCCACACACACACACACATGCACATCTTCCTAGGAACATTAAACCACAATTAGTGTTGGATAATTAGGCCAGGTTTGTTTTCTCCCGTCATCACGGCTCAACTGGTTCCACTCATTCTATGCACCTCAAAAACAAAGACAGTGATGTAACATCAGCAGGGCAGCTGCTTCCATCGGCCTTCGCTGGCCGTGTACAATGCCACCCTCAGCGGCGGAGGACAGCAACGCTTCAGTTTGTGACACTAGGTCCTCGCTAGATACGACATGAGTTGTGCTGACAGGAGGGAGGGGGGGGGGGTGTTTGTAACAGCCTCTGAAGAGAGCAGAAAAGTGACTGTGGGGGGAAATGCACTCTGCTGTCATTTCCTGAGTCGGTGAGGTGGGAGGAGGGTCGGAACGGGGGCAGCGGTTGAATTCACCCCAGGCGGCGCGCAGACACACACTGGTCCAAACAAATCTGTGTTTTAATATAGATTGCACCGCAGGGCACATCTGCCAACCTCTGTATCAATCAGAGGCCGGCCTCACTGAAGGCGAGAGAACACGCGAGAAAGAGCAGAAGCTGCACGTACTGTACGGCGCTACATGATCCCTGACTTTAGCTCAGGTTCCGTTAGACGGCAATAATCAGTTATTTTATTTACAGTAATCAGAAGTACTGGAGCCTTTAGTTCATGTGCATTGGGTCAGACATTTGTTCACATTAAGCCATCAAAAAGAAATTGATGGACATCTTAACAACTCACTGGTCTTTGTTTGCAAGCGTATTCACTGTGTGGGTGGGGAGGAAGGAATTAGGTGTGACCCTGTGTACTGACGTGTTTGTGTTGTTTCTGCTCGCGTTCTCTGGATAAGATCAGGATGGATCAGGCCTCTGCGTCATTGGGTTGAACTCCTCCGTTGCTGTCCCTAACCTCCTCCTCCTCACGTCCCCCATCTGCGGAGGTTCATGTGAGTCTATAGCAGAGGGCAAATAAACACTGGCCGACATAATGCTCATGGAGAACTAATTAAAGACAGGAAGGTGAAAGCCAAATGCATTCTCGGGAGAAACGATCTTGAGCTGGAGTGACAACTGAGGCGGAAGCCCAGCGAGGCGCTGAGAGGTCCAGCTCAAGGCCTTGATCAATAGTTTCCATCTTACACCTGAAAGCCATTAAATGTACCATGACTTGTTTTCTTTTACAAAGACTGGTGAGCACTTTGTTTCTTCGTTTGGTTTGGACTTTTGGTTTGCATTTAGAACTAAGGAAGAGCAAAATAGGAGACACAATAGTGATATATTTGTAGGCAGTAAATATGAACTGCTTTCATGGAGAAGTAGGAAGAACTTATTAAATGATGTTGAAACACTAGCTAAGCAGCTGTGGACTCGCCACAGCTTGAAAACTTTCCCCCTTTTCTGAACCAGATGTACACTGTGCCCTTTCATTGAGAAGCAATGAACTCTAATGTCTTACCTTTGTCTGCACATTGCAATGCAGTTTTATGAGTGACTTGTCGTCGTTGTGACACGTTGTCTGGAGTCCTGCGTAAACTGGGAGCACGCCAGCTGACCGACTTTTCCGTTCTTCCACGAGGAGAAGACCACAAGCCCTTGAAGAAATTTACAGAGACAGAGATGTTGGTGGGTTTAGGGACCGCCCTTCATATTAAAGGGCCTTTTTACTTTGGTAACCTCGGCTTGGGGAACAGGGTACAACGCCAGGTAACAAGGGATAAAAGCTACAGCTGTTCAACGGGCTTATTTTTTATTTCGACTCCCATATATTTTGTTTTCTTTGTGTGTCTGTGTGCGTGAGAAATGTGTTTAAGTGAAAAATCCCGAGGAACAATATTAATGCCATTACTTACAGAAGAAGCTGGCTAGGCGTCAGCTCCCACCGTTGTGCTCTTTTTGTTGCTGAACGAAAACCTCCTTTGCGGAGTTCATTTTGTGAGTGAGATACTATTCCAGGACCCTTCCTCTCCTTCCCGTTGGTGTGTGTTCCATGTATTCTAGTGTGTGTGTGTGTGTGTTGGGACCTGCTCGCTCCCTAATTCCCACCACTCACAGACGGAACCAACCCGGAGCTAAAAAAAGTGGCCTAACAAAATAATGGAGACAGAAATCTGCACGTTTGATTGCGGATAATATTGATCAGTCATTCTGGATTCTGGATCAATGACCCAATCAAAGCAGTGTGGTGATCTTGTCCTTGGCAGGTCGGTCATGTAGCAGCCCAGCAGCTGTGATCATAACAGTGGTAATTCCCACTTATTCATCGTCATGATTCACACATGGGAAGTAAATGTTAGATGCCCATTTTCTGGGCAGGTATTTCATGTTAGCTGTGTTTAGGCTAATAGCCTTATTCTGCCTCTCAGAGCAGAGCGAGAGGGACTATGGTGTAATTTTGTCTTGCCAATAAAGTTATTTTTGAATTTCAATGTCAGAGGGGGACAAAGAGTTTGTATGGCAAATCATAGCAATACCTGACTCATTCTGGCTACTCTTGTTTATTGCAATAAGAAAATGAAACAATAAATGTATGTGAGTAAATCATTATCAATGTAATTTAAATGAAAAAAACTTTATGGTATTGGTATCAAGAGAAACCATGGTGGGGGAAAAAAAAGTACATGTCAATAAATCATGAAACAAATGTCTCCTTAGTTGTTATGAACCAGTCATTGTGTGGTCCACCTTCTATCAATGGTCATAATAATATATGTAATGCATCGTCATGACAGTCCTAGTTAACAGCACGTCACATGTTTCATGATCAAATTAAAATAAAAAGATTTTACAACATAAAACAACAAATTATATCATTTGCAAAGCCTTGCATTCAGTCTGTTGACAGGGAATAAATTATACTGTTTTTGGAATACAGTGTAATACTGTAATTACAGAGAACCCTATAACAAATGTAAAAGAAAATATGTAGAATGTGTCATTTAAACAACAAATAATTCAGCATCACATAAATGCACCCAAAGGCACTCGCAGCTGCACGAGTAGAATAAAAGGCTGAAAGTCGTAGGCGACACAGAATTTGATAATGGCAGAACGTTTTTTCAAAAAAGCTTGATACTGAGTATTTAGTATCAATGGGAAAAAGTTTTTGAACAAAAGATTTTTGGATACCCATACATGCATGTGTGACCCAACATAATCCTAATGCTTCTGGCAGAAACATCCATTTAAACACCAATATGAAGTCTGCTGCAATCAGCCTTGGTGTTTGTGAGCAGCCAGCTGGAGCAGCTGACTGCTGCATTGTACCGTCGGATGAAGAGCAGCATTGTACTGTCTGGAGAGCGTGCCTAATTTCCCAATGGTTTTCATGTTGTTTCCCCAGGGTTTTTTTTTTTTTTTGCGAAGCATTTCCACAGCTTGCCGAGGGTCCTCTGCATCCTGTATCATTGCAGAACTCGGCCACTAGATGGTCCTGCTGTCGTAACTAGGAAGTAGAGCCACTTGAAACAATGCAGAATTGGTCATTCAGCAAAGAATAAGCAGTAAATGGATTCAATCATCAAAACAATGTACATTTACAGTAATTTAGCTGCAATCATAAAGGTGCAGTAGGCCAAATTATATGAACTCCATGCAGAAGCACCAATTGTTCTGAATATATATGATATACATTAAAATCCATTATGTATTGAAAGCTGCCCTGAAACCGAACAATGCATTGTGTGCTAGAGAAAAGGCCATAAAAACTGGACAAAGGGCATCTGGGCTACACTTTCTCCCCCACTGGTCAGACATTTTAAAACAACCTGATCTGTGGGAAATCTGAAAACTCATATGCAGTTTTTACTTAGTAATCGTTTTTGTTTTCCCATTTCCAGGACATTTGATAATCATATGATACATATGTTTAACCATGGCTGGATAGATAACTATCACACGTGTTCTTATACAATCATAGTATTGTACAAGGTTATATGCGTAATTCTTTTATCTTTTAGTTTATACCATTGGACTGAATTAGTTTGCTTCAGATCAAGATAAAAAGAGGACAGCGCATCTTTGTCATCAATCACGACTCCCTGAAAGCAAACGCATAATGGCATGGACCCAGTTTTGTACTAAAAGCCGGCTCTTGTCTGGTCGGTTCCGAGCATTGAGATGCGGCAATAACAGCGTGAGATGGTGAAATGGAATCTGAAGGGGTAGAGATACGTACCAGCACTTTTCTTTAAATGGATGTCTGAACCCGAGAGAAGAGGGCATGTTCTAGTGTCCCTTTCCATCTCCCCCACTGGCTCTTTAGACTCGCTTTACCCTTTGTGCATCACTCATCCAAAGAGATGAGACTTGCTTGAAAGCAAGAATGTATTTTTTTGCTCAGTAAAGCGTTCTAAATATTTAATATGCAGTGATATATTAATGTTATCAAAATTGATTGAGACCAACAATAAAAAAAACCTTATGTGCAATAAGAAGAGTTGTGTGCAGGATATTGGTCTATAATCTGAATTCAGAACATCACAGGTGTTCATTTTTTTGTGATGGTTTTACTTTTATGTCTCTAAACATTTACAAAAGCGCTCAACTGGAATAGACCGAACAAACCTGAGAGAGGATTGGAGGCAGAGACTGCTTCATTTTAAAGGGGTCACCAACCCAAAATGTATATATATATATATATATATATATATATATATATATAAAAAGAGGAAAGTTGTACTTACTGCATAAATTAAAAAAAAAAAAATCCAAAAGCTTTTATGACTAATGGGGAAAAAAAAGAATAGCAATTACTGTTGATGAGATATGGTATGAGCAAATAGATGTCACCGAGTGAAAGTTTGTACAAAAACTGTGTTGCATTTCAATGATGCAGCGGCAGAGAAGACGCAGCGGCGCAAAAGGGCCTCTAGATTAATTTACTCGTCGTGCTGAGAACTGCAGCGCTTCCTCTTCTCGTTGGGGCTTATAGGATGTGGTCATGAATATCTGGGCAGCTGCATGGGGTGTTGCACCTGTGTATAATCTCCAAAATCACACAACGGTGTATGCTGACGTCCCAGAAGAAAACAGCTGCTTGTTATTAGCACCTCAGAATTAACCTCCCTCTGTCAGTCTTTCCAACATCTGTAGAATTTACCATCAATTCTGATGTTTCTCTATACTTTTACTATTACGGATTAATGGCAGCATGCGGTCTTGACACAAATACAGCAATGCTGCCTTGATAGTTCAATCTAATATAGAAGGATGAGTCCTCCAACTAATGTCTTGTCCTCTTCAGGGAAATAAAGTCAATCCAGGCAATAAGCCAACTTGCACTCAAGGGTCA